GAATAAGACTTCCAGTGCATACGTGTTGAGCGACGCACCGGTGTTCGAATCTCAGGCGGATACCAATTTTTCTAATGAAATACGTACTAAATAAATGTTCACGATTGACTTCCTCGGTGAAGGAATAACATCGTGTAATAAAATTAAAACCCGCAAAATTATAATTTGCGTAATTACTGGTGGTAGGACCTCTCGTGAGTCCGCGCGGGTAGGTACCGCCGCCCCGCCTATTTCGGCCTTGAAGCAGTAATGCGTTTCGGTTTGAAGGGTGGGCCAGCCGTTGTAACTATACTTGAGACTAAAACTTATATCTCAGAGTGGGTGGCGCATTTACGTTGTAGATGTCTATGGGGTCCAGTAACTACTTAACACCAGGTGGGCTGTGAGCTCGTCCACCCAACTAAGCAATAAAAAAAATTATAAAAAAAGTAATTTTATAGCTTATTTTGACCAGTATCAACAAAATAAATGTGTTTATTTCTTTGAAAACTACCAACTTACATACATTTTATTACGGCAGCTGCGTTAATCTGGTATCAGTAGTTTAAATAAAACAAAAATATGTATATTTGGGAACGGAATCATTTATTGAACCCATCTGTTTATAGTAGATAATTAAATTATACTGTAACGCTACAAATTTGTACTGTTCCAAGTACCTACCTTTCATTACCTATAGTTTATACAACATATGCACCGAATATCGACACAACTTACACTTAGGCTAGAACATAAGTGATCTAAGTAGCTTTAAGTAAATTAAAATAAACGAGATTAGGGTTTTAGCAAATTATTTTGAATATTGCAACATCTTGGGTATTGCACGCAATGTAACACAATATTGAAACAACTTGGAAAAACTCGCGTGACGTCGCTGTTTTTGCTTTAGATCGCCGGCTCAAATTTAAATTAAATTAAAAACTACCTTTTTATCTGGAAAAAACCCTGGATTCATATTATATTTAAGATAATTTTTCGAGCAACGACTTATTTTCGATTATTGCAAATTGAGATCATTCTTCGATTTTTTTATTTCACACCAAATTTAAACATGCTAAAAGTTCAATTAAAATCACTTTTACGAACTTTTTTTTATTGTTTGGTTGGGTGGACGAGCTCACAGCCCACCTGGTGTTACGTGGTCGCTGGAGCCCATAGACATCTACAACGTAAATGCGCCACCCACCATGAGATATAAGTTCTAAGATCTCAGTATAGTTACAACGGCTGCCCCACCCTTCAAACCGAAACGCATTACTGCTTCACAGCAGAAATAGGCAGGGTGGTGGTACCTACCCGCGCGGACTCACAAGAGGTCCTCCTACCAACAGTAAAATTGACAGTTCGTGACAACGAAGATTGTAAAGTATTCGAAGCATCAGAAAAAATGTGTGCGTGTACTAGTGTACACACGTAAGAAGTGAAACTTGTTTATGGCCTTATTTTTCGAAAAATGATCTACATGCAACTTTCTAGAAATTGGTTAAATAAAGTTAAATTAGATAAAGTTTAAACAAAAGGATTTTATTATCATAGACATGAATACAAAAAAGTTAAATTAGATAAAGTTTAAACAAAAGGATTTTATTATCATAGACATGAATACAAAAAAGATGCCGCGTAACGGAAAAATGTGACGCGTAACCGAAAAATGTGACGGTAATTTTTTTTCCAACGCCGATAAGGAAGTTTCACTTCAAAAAGTAAAATGAAAATGAAAATTAAAGCGTAAAAGTAATTTTAATTATAATTACGACTTGCGAAAACCCCGCAAAATATAATGTAATAACTATACTAATCGTAAAAGTTAAGAAGAGTGAAATAATAACAATAAAAAAAATGCATATCATAGTAGTTTAGAAGAAGTCATTATTAGAGTTTCATCTATACTTAGATCACTTGTGTACGAACCTAACACAACTTCCTTACGGCGGTAGTTACTGATCACAGTACTTCACGGCTCCTAAGATTACATACAAGATTTTAATGCCAATATTAATGAGACGACAACTAATGATTACAAGGGTTGGTCTTTATCGAGTTATTTAATTGGAACCATACATCATATCATTCGAGAATACGATAAGTGTTATTTTATTTTTTTAATATTACATCCCTAAACATTTCATTAATTAACAGGGTGTAAAATAGAGCTCGATAGTGGAAGAAAATAATTGGAAATAAAGATAATTTTCACAAATGATATTTTTATTTTGAGACTAGGTATAATAATATTGTGTTGAATTCCTCTGTTGTATTAATATGGAATAAAAATACAAATAACTCGTGTTTTTTGTGTCTATTGTTGAACAACATCATTGTTCAATTTATTTTTGGCATACTGAACGGAATGCATCACTTCTCCACGGCAGGAATAAGTAGAGCAGTAGATCTAGTCCTACCGGATTATTGTATTTTTTTGGTCATGAATGAATTTGGAGCATATTTTCCGATAGATCTAGAGTGGGATAGGTATTTAACTATAGATAGGGGCAGTGTTGAAGATTGATTATACAAAGTCGTCGATGAAATATACCTTTAAAATTTTATTGAGGTTATTTATGCAATAGTTCGAACATTATGCAGTTTTTATTCCAATATTTTACTTCCACTAAACGCTTTTCTTTTGCACTCTGTTTGCAATGTCTAGATATATTCGTCTGTCACATTTCCTACGGATACACGCATCAGTATAGATTAAATATTTTATAAGGTTAAAAAGAATTTATAAACATATAACTTGCGAAGGTTATACATGGATACCACTTCAGAACTAGTATACAATAATTATGAATCGCAATAGTCAGATTATATTTTTCAAAAGTACGTTCACAAAATTAGCGAATTTTCAAGATTTGCAGCTTCTTTGGACTGCGAAAAATAACGATATCAAGTTTTGTGTTTTCATTTCTAAATCTCGACACGAAAAAATGTATACTTTATTTATTATTATTATCTGGATATTATATATTTTGGTGTATTTTTAACTAACTTATGCGTCTATCCGAATTCTTTATTTTGGAAACAATGTAAGATACACAGAAAAAAAATGTATTAACGCAATAACTACACCGTTGCTTTTTAGTAACTTACACTAAATAAGTAATTATAAATATCGATCGATTCGTTTCGTTATTATTTATTATAATAGGTATAAATCTTCCTTTATTGTCTTCAATATTCATCACTTAAATCAGGGAACTCAGGCTGCATTGATAAGTCAGATGACGTATTTAGAATTGTGACACTGTTGCCAACTTTGGACGAATTAGTTTGATTTAGCAGTATTTTTTTAGTTGACCATGGCCAGCTTGATTTCAAGCGATGATCATAGGTAGAAAAAAAGGGACATTAAAATTTAAATACCACTGTTCGCCCATGCACAACATTTAGGATTTTAAGTCAAATTGACCTACGTTGTTAATTTGAAATCTAAATATTCAATATTATTGTTTAATAGAATCTGTCTTATAATTGCGGTCTGAGAACGGAGCTTAAAGAAATTAAACTCAAAACTGTCGGATCTTATCGTGTATTTTAAAAGTTCATATTGAATTCCGATAAAATTGAATAAATTGTGAACACTTTTGTGTGTTCATTGAAATGTTTCTGCAATTGTAAATAATTGCAGAAACATTTTAATAAAAGCATTCGTTGAATTAGTATATCACAAATTCAATGTTTAGCAAAGATTAAGAATGCGAATTATATACTAAAATTGTTATACGAACGAATTGCAAACGAAAATCAACGATAAGATCCAACATACAGCAAAACTTAAAACATAAATTTGCAGCATAACAAGTGGTGGCAAATTGAATCCTGAACTGTCGCTTTGGTACGTAAAACTTACAAATAAGTATAATAAAAGTTATACGAGGTTCAAAACCGTATCAAATCGAATTAATCTTTTTTTTTATAATAGCAGATAATTCAGCGCGAATATATACAGTTAATATGCGAATTCCAATCGTGCTGCTATCTGCTAATGAAGTTAGTATTAACATATACATTCACCGATTCTTTTAAATATTATAACATATAGTAAATGCTTTATTAATTTTCCTTCTATATCATACGGGCTTTCAAATTTCCTGATAACTTTCTGAATTTATCAAGAGAATTTAATTAAAACAAATGGCAACCCAGCTATGTATTTGTGGTGATACCGAATTCTAGTTTACTTATCGTGTTATCTCTTTCTATCACATTCGAAAATTACTATCAGTGTAAAAGACAACGAGAATATCAATAAGGTTTATAATTAATAAGTTTATTAATAAATATGCACCAAATATCATGAATGATCATTCGCATCAATAACTTAAATTGACAAATAAGGCAGAATGGAAAAAACCTCTCTCTTGTTCGTTGTGAACACGGGAATACGTGATCATTGATGACGTATAATTAATCAGATCTGAATATTTATAAATAACAGTTTTGAGTAATTCGATATGTGGGCGTACGTACTGCTTTGATTATAATTCAGCAAAAAGGCGATAACATCGATTGTTAGCAGTGGAGAATTATATCGAATAGATATTCAACTTTTTTTTCATAATGTCATTAATTATGCTTCGAGATTCATTTTAATTTCTTAGATATAAATAATAAAATAGTATTTAGGTGAACAATAAACCACAACGTATTGTACTCTGAAAACATAAGCAATGAAGGGAAGGTTAATAAAAAAGTTTTCAATTATTTTTTTCGCTGGCAACATTTCACTCGTAACGTCATATGAGACTTTTTGGCGGGAACGCGAGAAGTGAAGTTGTGTGATTTGTTTTATTTTATCTATTTAGTGTTTCTTCAGGTTCAAATGTGTAATATCGGTGGTTTATTAACTCCAAAAAGTACACCGAAAAAATCTCAGTAAATGACCACCGTTTTACTGAGATTATATTTCATCCCATATCATCTCATCTCATTTAATTTTACTCCATATTATCATTTTTCATAAAAATAAGAATATAAATTAAAATAAGAGATGACTTAAGGGTCTTAGTTACCAGGTCATAAAATCCCTTAAAAAAAGTCATATGACGTTATTTCAGCTACATTTATTAAAAATAATATTAGGATAAAACGTATAACGTCGAGGCGCAATTCTAAGAGTGCAACTTATACACAACTTACCCGATTCAATAATAATCTTGAGCTAAAATATTGGTTTTTCATTATGACGGCCATCAATAAAATATATATATTCACGATTGTTATTCGCATATTTAAACTGAACCTAATGAAACACATAAATCGTTGTCTTACACTATACACAATCAAAATTAATGATATGTTCCTCTAATTAGATATACAAAGAAATGAACGCCATCGTAGTAACGATACAAAACAATAATTAGCATACAATGAAGTCAAATTAGTTCTTTTTTTTTATGTACACTTAAATTTACTAAGTACCCCTTGATTTGATGGATCTCTGTATATGGTTAGAAGATTGTTATAGAACTATTTTATTTCGATAATCAAGTCGTTACATAATATCATAGTTTTTTAATTATTTATACAAGTACTTATTACGAATAGTGCTGCGCGCTCGTTTGACACAATACCGATATCGATAGCACGACAGTGACGGGCGTAATATCGATTACTGAATCGGACGAACGTCAGTAACACGTGTGCGCGACTCTGGAACACACCGAACATCACCCTAATCCCGTTAACAATTCATCGTTCGGTCAAAAATGAATCCATTTAAATGTATATAAGAAAATAATTGGGACCTTACAGTATATACAAAAATATCACATTACTCCGAGGCCGCAGCTTTCAATTACTTATCTCATATTCCTTACCTAAGTCATCGTGGATGAAGCTCAAGCAACGTATCGCGGGAAGTAATTGATTGTATAGCGATTGTTTGTTCGTCACATTTAAGCAATTATAAGATTGAATTTATTAAGGCGTGAATTGCGCTTTGTTCAGTAACACGTGTCGGAAACAATTATTGCTGTTGATCAGTCGTTTGTATTACATTCTTAATCACACACATCAACACATGCGTAATAATTATATATATATAGATATTCACATATATCGAGTACAGTCTAGTATAGAATCGAAAGGACTAGGTGCTTCATCATAGTTTTAATCTAATCCAATAGTGATAATACTACGACACCTACAAGATCTAGATTTCGAAGAGTTCGAGAAAAATCTATTAAGCTGCAGCCACACAGTTGAAGCGGCCGCATGATTAAAAAGCTACACTAAAAATAAAACTATTTTGGCTTAGTTTCGAGAAACTACATAAGCAAATATAACCTTTTATTTATTTGAAAAAAAAAAATAATACATTTCTGTTGCAAAAGCAGGGACAGGCTGCATTCACTGGGCCATTGCCCAGCACGGGCTAATTGTATCAGATCTTTGTGTCCAGGTTTAAGCAATGCCCGGAACGAAAGGCGTGATAAACGCATCCGAACCTTAAACTCATCAATTCGTTACAAACGTTGCATTCATGCGATTGAATCACATATCAAAGCGCTCGATAATTGCGAACGGACATACGTGTCGAAGCGCGACCGCCACACACACTATCACAATACAAAAATATAACAATCTGAGGAGCGGTTTATTGCTTATTGGCGTTTCAAAACGCAGCAGTCTATCCTCGTTACGTCCATAACACTTTTAGCGACGACAACTTTCGTGTTTTTAGGGACTTATCATACTAACTTATCTTTGAGCACTCGCTCTGTTAGTTAAAATGATTGCTGACTTTCACAATGAGAGGTCTGAGCAGAGAACGTCTTGAGCGATCATGAAGTACGATTATCGTATTTTTCACAAACAACGACAAGAGTTCACTCTATTATGTATATTAATTTTATTTTGTCGGTGTGCTAAGGAAATGAAAGTATCTAGAAAGTTTACATATACTGTGCTTCATATTACTTTAACTAGGTCACGTGGCGTTCTCTGATTGGTTGCCGCGCTCCCGCCAACTGCGAGGTGAGCGGGTGCAAAATTCATTTCAAATTTCATTTAGATAACGCCTTAATGAAGACACTTAATGAAAACATCGCTCTTGGACCGACAAAACATGTTTGTTTCCATTACACAAGATTATATTTATTTAAAATTCTCGCTCGTCAAACTCTTCTTGTGTAAGCCAGCCCATTAAACATTTATTGCTTATTATCTCGAATTCGTCTCATTTGCACGAGCCAACGGTTCATTTGTCCGGTAGCGCGCCGAGGGTGTCTTCGGGAGAGGTGGAGGCGGAGAACGCGTCGAGGAAGTCGAAGGTCGCGACCGCGGCGCGCTCCGGGTCGGCGTAGCGCACGAACAGCGACTCCCGTCCCAGGATGGTGGGGCGCCGCGACGCGCCTCGGCCCAGACGCACCACGCCGAGCCCGCGGGCACGCAGCGCCGCCGCTGCCGCAAGCACACTCGGTTACACGCCGCCCGCGCGGGCTACTACCGACACAACATGCTCACGCGCGCCCCGGACACACGCACCCGCGACCTCATGACCACTACCCACCACTCTTAAGGGGACGGAGGGGGGCGACGCTCAGAATATCGATTTCTCATTGTATCAATAAAAAGGTTGCATATTACAGTCTTATGTTCTGTGTGCTTAATGCGAGCTTTTTAACCTTCTCGATAGCGTAGAAGTTTGTATGCAGTTGTATGAAATTTTGTATGCAGTTGGAACAGCGCCCCTAGCGGCAAACGTGGGTAAACGATCCCATTCCATACAAATATGAGGTAACTTTCACGCTATCGAGAACGTTAGAAAACTCGCACTAAACACACTGTATAAGTTGTTCAGTTCAATTCAGTGACTTTGAAATGAAACAAAAGTGTTTTAAATTAGGGCACATATTAATGACATTACTTAGAAGATTAATAATGCCATTGTACCGTTTATGTATCGAAAGTAATCAATTTCGCTCATCGTCATTCGACAATTTGATGGATACTTTGGTATACTTAAAAAAAAAAACATAAAAACATTCGGAGCGACGCCCAAGTGAAGACACCTACTCGAAATGAGGCAAGTGAGTGAGATGGTGCGCGCGAGTGAGAGCGGAAACAAGTGACGTGGCTGAACGTGTGAACGAGACAGACAACATTTATGACGTCACAAATGTGACGATTAACGTTAAGTTTAAAAGAAAACCGAGATTTTTGTAGTTGCGCTTTTATGGAAAACTATATAGTATTTTGGAAACAGAAATAATTTTTTTGTAAGGAAATTAGATTTTTTTATTATATTTCCCCAAACAAACAATGATCTGGTCTCTTGGCATATACAAAAATCTTGGAGGAATCAATATGAAGGCACAATTTTATTCTAAAATCTTTTTAAGTTTAGCTAACTGCTTCACGCCCTTATCCTACAATCAACATTAAAGTCTTGATAAAAAGTGAAAGAGTTTCTCTGAATTAAAGAAATTATTATTGAGCATTCATATTTAAAAAAATGTTCGTACAAAATGAAACCTGAATTATTTAGAAGTTGATTAAATTATTTACAATGAAACGTAAAAATAATGTGATCCATCGTTTGTGTGAAGCCAAATAATTAGAAAAAGCCGTGTTAAATTACAAACTGACTTATATTTCAATAGTACCATAATATTACCCCGTAAATATTAAATTTGGTATGCCTTGATATGGTATGCATTACCAATAGCAATAGTTGATGGATTATAAACAACAAACAATCTGATTAGTCTTAGAAACCAAGATTATATTTACATGATAAGCCTGGGAGTTACAAAAAGACATAGAAGAAATTGAATGAGACTATGAGAAAAATTACCGTCAATGCAATTTCCAAATGTATTAATAACGGTGATTATTAAAAAATAAAGAGCACATTAATAATTGAATTTATGGAAGCTTGAAGCAACTGCATCATTTTGCTTTATCTTTAAGCCCCATAGTATACTTATTATATTGTAATGTATAAGAGTCCTTTTAATATTATAATTGAGACTATCTTTGTTTGTTACGCTTTCATTTCTTAAAGGCTTCGTCAAACAGAACGCGTACTTAGCGCTGCGTTTTAACGTCGCGCTCTTTTCATGTCACACAAATTGACTAGATGAGCCTAACGCTACTTGACGCAACGTAACATCCGCCAAATCATAGTGCCTTTCTATAGCAGTCTGAAAAACTAAAAGTATTAAGATATCGAGTGATTCAGATGTGGCATTGTATAAGCATGGGTATTTTCTAACTAATTCTATAAAATTTTCGGGCATTACCCAGTATTTTAATACACATTCACTCGGACGCTAAAATAAAGTTTGTAAAAAATTACAACGTCTGACGTCAAAGCGTCCTAACGCCGCGACAGAGCGTTGCGTACTTATAGCGTTGGCGCTCTGTTTGACAGTTTATTACCATAGTAGTACGTACAACATAATTCGGCGTCATAGCGCGCCGTCAGTTTAGCGTTCTCACGCGCGCTAAGTACGCGTTCTGTTTGACGAAGCCTTAACTCTTTAACCGATCCTTGTGAAACTTTACGTCCTACAGAAATTAATAATAAAATTAGTGCACTAAATGAATTGATTGTAATCTTTTACCGGTTTTTTGTCTCCTAGATCTGTGCAGGCGATGTAGCCTGGAGTAGGGCGGAGGAGGTTCGGCTGGCGAGGAGCCACACGATGATGGAGAAGAATCGCTCGATGCTAACATCACGTCTAGAAGATTAGCTCGGGCCTAAAAGTTGTATGTATTAGGATCCTTAGTGTTCATCACATTAACAATCGACCATATCTATATATATAAAAATGAACTGCTGTTCGTTAGTCTCGCTAAAACTCGAGAACGGCTGAACCGATTTCGCTAATTTTGGTCTTGAATTATTTGTGGAAGTCCAGACAAAGATTAATAGGTATAATAATATGAAAATGCTCGAACTTAAATAAAAATAACAATTTTGTTTTCCCTTTGATGTGTTCGCCGTCGAACGGATTATTTTTGTTTGTTTTAAGTTTATTTTATACAAAAGTTTAGGTCCTTTATTTATAGATTGAGGCACTGCGAAGTCTGCCGGGTCAGCTAGTAATTAATAAATGAATACAGCTATTTTAATTTGAACTTTCTGTAAATGATGTAAAGATCGAAAAACCATTTTTTCTTACCTTAGGATCACTAAAATCTATGTCCTTTTCAACGTGCACCCATCCTGTAGGCGCCCAAAGTTCGCTGTCCTTATGCGAATTGCCTTTATCGTTCTTTTCATCATTCTTAGGTTCGTTTCCAGGCGTTCCAGTTTCGCTTTGTCTAATCATCCTGGAAATATTTGACATTTATTATCAAATAAACATAATATATTTTTTTACAGAAATTGAAGTTCAACGAATTTCTACGTATATGAGATTCAAAAGCATTATTACATTCCTTTGTTAATAAACAAAATATACCTATTAAGTTCTTCGATGACGTCCTTAGAAGTGGCAGCCTCGTGGAAGCTCAACTTATTCTCTTGTTTAACAATAATTGGCTCAGCATTGGGAACTGATTTGGCTTGTCTAAGTTTTCCCGCTACGGGAATCTTCGATTTTCCCTTGCTCGGCGAGGACGGAGGCCTTTTACCAGCAAGGGTGGGAATGCGGCTCCGTTCTCGAAGTCTTATTTCTTTAACATCATTCTTATTACTTATTATCACAGTTTCAGCAGTTGAAGTGCTCGTGGTATTGGATTCAGTCATTTGCGGTGAGCTCGTTTCTGGCGAGGAGCCTTCTTCTTCTTCAGGAACTGTTAGTAGCGCTGTGTTTCTTTTACAAACACTAATTACTTCATCTACTATGGCTATGTCAGTTTCGCTTGTGGTAAACGCAAAAGTCACCTTCGGGGTTTCAATTTCAGATGCAATTATGGGCAGAATTATGTTAACTGTGGTGTCTTTTAAAGCTATAATAGACTCAGCGCTTCGACTAGTTTCAGTATCATTTGGCGTACTATTTAAAAATTGCACAGAATTATCTTCTTTATCATCGTTATCACTTACACCAACATTTTTATTGATTTCGTTTTTCCGTTGCACCTTTGTGAGATCCTCAATTTCGTTGCTAGAATCTATCCTTGATAATTCTTCATAAAAAGCTTCAGATTCTACGTAAGGATCCTCTCGTGCAATGAATCTTGGTTCTGATACAGTTTCACTAAATGATACTCTAGGCCGATCGGAATTTGCCTCACATGAATCGTTCTCTGAGAAACTACCAAAGGAATCTGGCCTTCTATCTTCGGATACTTCGCTACGTGGGCCAACTGAATCGTCATCGAAGTCGGCCGCAGCGTACGGAGGAGGTAATTCTCTGATTTCTGATACCGGCCTTGAAGACATGGAATCTGATTCTTCACGATCTCGACAATATTTCTGTTGTTCAGCTATAAAGTGGAGCACATTTTGAAGCGCATGTTCCCTGTCTTGTATGGCCATAGATTGGACGTCATGTATCCTTAAATGACTATTGGCGTCGTGTGACGCAATGCCTCTGGACGAATTTGATGCTAAGCTCTTTGTGCTTTCATATTTGACGAGACGATAAAAGTCTCGAGTGAAATCTAAACCGACATTTGTGCAATCGCCATCTTCACTCAATGCCGTGCTAGATCGCTTGTCTTGAGCATCCGAAGCACTCGACCACGATCCACCAGGAGAATGAGTTCCGGTACATTCCCATCGCTTCTCGGAATTTTCCGGATCGTCTCCTTTACATTCATCAATTTCGACAGTTGCAAAACCACAATCATTCCACAGACAATCTCCGACATCTTCTTCTAATTCTAAGGCATCATCTTCTCTTATGCTCGGCAAAGTGGACAGCGATATTTGGCCTGGTGTAGTGATTTCTGCGAATGGCGATTGCCTATCTCTGAGATCTTCACACGAAAGCGATAAACTCCAGTCTTCAAGTTCAGCTCTATCGTATTCTAAATCTGCTAAATCTCTGTGTCTCTGTTGCAAAGCTGATCTTGCGTCGTCGAGTTCTAGCCAATGCTGGACGTAATCGGCTTCATATTGGGAACCATCAGGTCTTTCATCTACCGTGCTTCCCCATGAAACCCTTTCGGAACTCGTAGTAGACGCGATCGCTGCTCGTCGTAATGGTCTTTCCGGTGCCGGCTTTAAGTCCAATAACAGTACTCCGGAACTTGGTGTCGGAGTGTCCATACAACTGCTGGCACACGTCGTTCCTGCTATCAACTTTAAACATAGATGTGAATCAGAAAAGCTTCGAACGACGTGCTGAAAAGGCAGTACGGGTCTCGAAGGAGGATAACTGCCGCGGACTCCAGCAAACGCTACACCTATAGGAAAGTAAATGTAGTCCGCCTCAGCCAATAACCTAGCATGCCTTCGAGATTCTCTAGGGTTTATTGAGACAATAGTTTGATTGTCTGTTTCATCTGAAGCCTCATTTAAGTCCGGTAAAGCCCTGTCTGCAGCGTGGTCACTTTGCCTTGAAGCATCAGCCTGAACGTCACTAGACATTGTGGAGTAGCCTTCGTCCTTGGCACCACTTTCTGGAGATTCGGCGCCTGCTTCACACGCCTCACCGCTCTCCTCCTCAGTCACTTTATCTTCTTTGACATCTGCATTAATAAGATTATTTTTATATAACATATTTACCATAGTTTAGTTTGTATATTTGAGAAATTTGACGATGTAAATACCTTTTGCAGAGTCAGAACGAGGAGGAGGTACATTGAGGCTGAGAGTAGCAGGTCTTGCCGGTGGAGCCCAAAGTGTGGGATCCACGGCTGACAGCGCACGCGCCAGATTTGCTGGGGTTACTTCCAGACCCTGGTAGTAAATACAATTTACAAAGAGATTCGGTGAAGTACACATTTGATTATTATGGTTAATGGTTAGATAGTAAAAAATTATCTAATTTAATGACTAAAGGATTTATTACATACTGCTTAACTAAGGCAAGGCAAGTTGATGAAATTCTTTACATTTAAGTTCATTTCTTTGAATAATTTCAGACCATACACTGCAATGTGCAAGAACTTGTGACACTTATTGACTTTAATTTTTCAAAAATTCTCATTAATAATTAACTAACACTAAGTCAAACTATTTCAAACCTTAAGTTCAGTCCATATATCGGCCAGGATCTGATGGCGTCGCTTGTCGTCGTGACTGAGGGGATGGGGGTGCTGCACCGGAGGAGCGGGGGGTGGCGAGTCTCTGAATGAGACCAACGACCCACACGATCCGACGTCCACTAGGTGTACTGAAATATTTGTTCACAATGTGTTAGTGTCTAGCTGTATGATACAGAGTTCGAAAATCGCTATGTATTTCGTTGTACTTTTTAGAAACTATTTTAATGTTACATTAGACATAATTTCTCGACATTGGGATTAAATAATATTATCCGTCCTAGTTTTTAGGCCACCGATGCTACATAATTCAAGGCAAGTGACGAACTTATTTTTGCTATTTACAGAAGACAAATCGCCTGATGGAACGATTACTCGCCGTCCACCCGAGGTCTCGATTGCGTTACAGCGAATAAGTGAAGCGAAGCCATTCTGGGTTCGAAGCTAATTGATTACCTTGCAAGTCTCTCGGTGCCGGTGTAATGGGTGTAAGCGGAGTGGCCGGCGACGGACGCGGCACAGGGCGAAGTTGCCTCACCAGCAACGCACTTAAAGCTCTGTTCTGAGCTTCAAGCTCTCTAACGCGGGCCCTGGCGCATCCTAACTCCTCACGTATACTCTGAAAATACAATAGTAATATTACGGTTAATATTGTTTAAAACTCTTACATCTTTATTTTATTCATTTATGGCTTAACCCAGGGGCTCCCAAACTTATTTTATCTACTGTCCACTTTGAGAATAAATTATTTTTTAGCGCCCCCATTTTCTCATCTACCATAAAACCACTATAGCGAGAGCTCAATCGGTGTCTAAGAATCCTCCTAGATGAAATTACAAATCGCCTCCGAAGCCTCTACACAACGCCCCCATTTTTTTTCTGGGTCTCTTACCGCCCCCCTTTAGCCCTGGAGCGCCCACAAGGGGGCGTTATCACACACTTTGGAAAAGGCTGGCTTAACCAATTCCTAGGATGACACGAGATTGGCTGCGCGTAATAGCTATTTCGTTTTGCACATAATGAGTCCATTGAGTTTCTCGCTGGATTTTCTCAGTGGGACGCGACCCCAATCTGAGAGTAGACTTAGCAGAGAAGAAATCTTAGTAGGGCAAGTGTTAGCAAGTTCTCTCAGGTTCAGTCCCGCTACTAACAAACCGTAAAAGAGGAAGTCCTTGGTGATTAGGCCAAAAATACATTTAAAAAAAAAGACGATGCATAAACTTTTCTAAACTTTCACAGTTAGCAACACTAAAAATAATATGACATAAGGGGTTATTATCACATACATATGCCTACGACCATGGCGCTTGCAACAGCATTGGAATAACGGGAGCTCACAAAACTTTAAAATCGTGATATAAGTTATAAGACCCGTTAAACAATATGTAGTAATAAAAAGAAGTATGTGTCTGTCATTAATCAATATCTATGTGTAGCTCCCTGCATTGATCCTCCAAAGTTGGAAGACAGCTTCTCTATTATTTTTTTCATTGCTTAGATGGGTGGACGAGCTCACAGCCCAGCTGGTGTTAAGTGGTTACTGGAGCCCATAGACATCTACAACGTAAATGCGCCACCCACCTTGAGATATAAGTTCTAAGGTCTCAAGTATAGTTACAACGGCTGCCCCACCCTTCAAACCGAAACGCATTACTGCTTCACGGCAGGGTGGTGGTACCTACCCGCGCGGACTCACAAGAGTTCCTATCACCAGTAAAAAAGTTATCTAATTTATTTGATACAATACGAAAAAAGACATGCAATACTCGTACTCACTGTCTTTTCTTGGTCAAAAATGTATATTTATAGCTTCTAGTTTCTGCAACTGGTTAATTTATTTTAAGCTATCCTTTATGGTATTTTTGTTGATGTTTTAAGATTTTATTTAATAAAGGCAGTTAATGACCAAACAAAGATAAAATGTTACAAGGATTTAAAACTTGTTTTCTTGTTTAGAGTCCAAAACTGTTTGAAGTTGGATGATTTCTAGCTGTCTCTGGTTTAAAATCAAACCTTATAACAGCCCGCCGTCGTGTATTAATTACGATACTGTCATCCAAGTGTATATATTACATAGCGGTTACGGAAATTTCCAGAAATTATATCTAACGAAAACTTTATCCTATTTGAGCCCAAGATTCCAAATAATCGCGTACATTTTAATTACACTTCATTAGTTAAATTAAATTCGAGTATGGTAATTGACGGGCGGTAATTACAAGGGGACGGTAGAAATGCTGGCAAGACCTTAAACTGGGTGTTGCCAAGTTTGAGACGTCTCCCTAAAAACGTGGTAAAGTTTATTAAAAGATTTCTCTTGAAGTTCGCAGAGTGAATTAATATCACGTAAATTTAGGAAACTCAGGGTTATGACATTAATTAAAGTGCTTTTGATTTTGACGTAATAAACCATCTTTGAGATACGTATATTCTATTAGTAAACAATTAAAATTACGATTTTGCCCAAAACAATTGTGGGTAGATAAGAATTAGAATAATTATAAAATTGTTGAATGCATCGAAATATTTTATTTAATCAAATGCAGGTCTCGAGTTTTGGCCTCGGAATAATATTTATGCCATAGATAATAATACACATAAATTAGTTATAGATAGGCAAGTCAACCACTCAACAATTTTTTTTACGGGCGTTGGCTACTAGATGGCTTCGCTTTGATTAGTTTCTCATTGCTCCAGTAGATAGCAGTAACATGTTACCTATCCAATATCTTATTTTTAATGAAGGATTTTGTAAATTTTCAGAAACCACAAATTGATAAAATTTAATCAATTTGTCCATAACAAATAAAGACTTGTAAGATTTATTATTTTTTTATTTAAACAACAATGAAATACCTTAACTTTAACAACATATTATATGTTTAGGGGCATCCGCTACAAGATGTCGCTAGATTCCGTACAAAAAATATTTGTTTTAAAGTACCGCAGTTTCAGGGCCCTAATTTATTCAAAATTGACAAGCATTATCACTTGTATGAAGAGCAGAGTTTTTTTTTTTTTTTTTTTTTTTATTGCTTAGATAGATGGACGAGCTCACAGCCCACCTGGTGTTAAGTGGTTACTGGAGCCCATAGACATCTACAACGTAAATGCGCCACCCACCTCGAGATATAAGTTCTAAGGTCTCAGTATAGTTACAACGGCTACCCCACCCTTCGAACCGAAACGCATTACTGCTTCACGGCGGAAATAGGCGGGGTGGTGGTACCTACCCGTGCGGACTNCCCACCTGGTGTTAAGTGGTTACTGGAGCCCATAGACATCTACAACGTAAATGCGCCACCCACCTCGAGATATAAGTTCTAAGGTCTCAGTATAGTTACAACGGCTACCCCACCCTTCGAACCGAAACGCATTACTGCTTCACGGCGGAAATAGGCGGGGTGGTGGTACCTACCCGTGCGGACTCACATAAGGTCCTACCACCAGTAGGTAGGGTTCACCAGTTATGAATGATCATAAAACATTATCTCATTGAATTTTGACGGCTTCTATAATGTCTTATAGAGGGGTGATCGTTCGTCTCGTATCCGGTAATTACTCTATAAGATAATTTCAAAGCGCGCGCACACACATGCCACCACTTAGAGCCGAGCAAATGAAATTTCAATAAACCTCTTCAAAGGGATGATCTATCAAATGATGACGTTGATTGCTTTATGATAATTACGCAAGTGACAACGGGGTGGGTGATAAACGTGTAGATGCTTTACCAATTATGTAAAATTGAAAATGATTTCGTTTAGAGATTAATATTTTAATCTCAATCTTTTTTTTTTAATTTTTATAATAAAATTAAACTGTTTCTTTTATTGGTGATAGCAGAATGAACGTAATGTGTGATAAACAATTTAAAAAAAAACTCGCGCAACGACATTGCCGATCTTGCCAATACTGATTTAGATGAAAAATAGTGTTATGAATTCGGTTTTTTCCAAAGACAGTGTATCTTCCTGACTTAGACCTTCTGTTCTTCTTTATACAGGAAATCGTTTTGATTAACTTTACTGAAATTAATATTGCTAGAGGATCGCCAATGAAATAGCACAGTTACGAAATTTATAGTTTGAAAACTCTTCATTCCTAGTTCACCTAAAGCAACGAACAAAAGAACGTGTCCCAATTTGAAAGAAATATGTATGCGTGGTCGTTTTTCTAATGTACTCCATTTCAAAGAGCTTCCCCGTAATATATTACAAAAAATAGATCAGATGTCAAAAGTGGGTTACTGTGCTCGAATCTATGTCGAAAACAGATCAGTGATCGATGATGAAAGATGTTTGCCAAAACAAACGTTTCGGATTACATAATATTAAGTAATTGGTCGATAGAAGCAGGCCACCCACGTTTTGTGGGTCAATTGAAGAAAAATTCACGACTTTTGCAATTCAGTTAAACTAACAACTGTCGAACTTAGAGAACGCAGACTAATGGATTCAAACGCAGACGGCGCCATCTTTATCTAGAAAGTTCGACCCAGTTCAAGCCGAAACTAAGGAAACATGGCGGCCACCCGCAAACTGAATTTAAACGCAAACATTCGCATTATCGTGCAGATTATACCCAGATTATAGTGGGCCAGAGCTACTGAAATTATTACGGTGCCAGCTAAGGCCAAAGTGTCCCATTTGGTACGATTTATGTGCGAATGTACCGTCGAATAATCCGTGGGCGCTGGATCCGGGCATGCTATAATTATGAGAAAACAATTTCCTGGATGCATCTTAATGTTCCTGTCGGATTAAGAGATATGGAAATTGGTTTTATTTTTTCATATATATTATTGCTTATGATGACGGTTTTTGTTGTTTTTTATTTTTAGTTTATACTTTCCTTTTGAGGATTAAGCTTGGGATATGCGATGGACGATCGAACCACAAAGCTGCCGGCAACATTAGCTCCTAATTTTCTTGTTAAACCAAATCCGCAGATTATTTTACCAGGATGTTCGCTCTAATACGCTTGTGCTTTATCCTAAATACTTAGAGATAAGCCGTACTTAAGAGGGTTCACTTGGATGACCCTACAGGAAAGCATGTTCCCCAATAATCAGCCCCATTGGAAGACTCTTGTTCACGCCGAATGAAAAGGAGATCAACTATGTTTTTTTTATTTATTTTTATTGCTTAGTGCACCCAGAGCTCACAGCCCACCTGGTGTTAAGTAGTTACTGGAGCCCATAGACATCTACAACGTAAATGCGCCACCCATCTTGAGATATAAGTACTAAGGTCTCAGTATAGTTACAACGGCTACCCCACCCTTCAAACCGAAACGCATTACTGCTTCACGGCAGAAATAGGCGGGGTGGTGGCACCTACCCGTGCGGACTCACAAGAGGTCCTACCACCAGTAAACAAGAGGTCCTACCACCAGTAAATCCTTTCTTCCTAGATCCTCTAAAGGTCTCTTACCTTCTGTGAGAGTAGTGCCCTAACGACCTGCTGTGCCACGTCATCGAGCTTTCTTTCGTGTTCATTGGCTTCGAGTCCTGCCGAAAGCGCAGATAGCTGGCCACGGAGACGCTCGTTCTCTGTGCTCAACGTAGCCAGCTGACTCTGGTAGTGCGCCGCTGACGCCTGCGAACATGACACGGGAAAGTCTTCAATAATTGTGTACTGTTTTCATAGTAACGACAATTTTTTTTTATTGCATAGATGAGTGGACGATCTCACAGCCGACTTGGTGTTGAGTGGTTATCGGAGTCCATAGACGTCTACAACGTAAATGCCGCCACCCACTTTGAGATATGAGTTCTAAGGTCTCAGTATAGTTACAACGGCTGTCTCGCCCTTCAAACCGAAACACATTACTTCTTCACGGCAGAAATAAGCAGGGTAGTGATACCGTGCGTACTCACAAGAGGTCCTACCACCAGTGGATCCTACCACCACTAATTATGAATTTATAGAAATTTATTGGCCATATTGTTTTAGTGATTCGTGATACTTCTGTCTTTCTTTGGGTAATTACTTGTGGTGTTTGGGGACTGCCTTTTTTATGTTTCCTGTTACGACGACGGTGTGTGGACTTGCTCACGGTCCACCAGGTCTTTAGTGCTGACTAGTACCATTGAGATGTGAGGTCGATTACCGCTAAATTTAATTATATAATGGCTGTTTCACCTTTCGAATTGAAACACGTAATTGCTTCGTCATAGAAGTAAACAGAATGATGGTGCCTATCGTTGCAGGATTATAATATCCCCTTACACCAGTAGTTACGTAAATATATTTTTATTTTCAGATTTTATTTTTATTTAACGACAACATTCCTCTATAGGGGAAGCTCTTCGTGACTAAGTGTTAAAGGTGCGTATTTCGGCATAAATAATTGTAAGTAACTGCAGGATTCGAAACTGGTACACCGGTCGTACTATCCGTTTTGTTTCATATTTCCAACGAAAATATCTTGAAAGATCTTGCCTTCTTATAAACAACATGAGTTCAATATCTTTGTTTTTACATAATATTATGTTTTTTGTTTGTTTATTTATGCAATTGTATTTTCTTATAGGTACTTATAGAGAGGTGAAAAGCTATTTGTCTTAAGCGAGAATTCGATTCATACGCGACATTTATCTTTGTAATTAAATGTTCGTTTTATTTAGTATTAGTATCAACAATTCGATGTTTTTAACCGAACTTCAATTGTGTTTACACCATTCCAATAGCGGAAGATTTTTTTATTTATTTTCATGATATTTCTTTGCATATTTTAAACATTACATGGCTATCCTGTAAAGTCGGTAGGCAGCGGCTTGGCTCTGCCCCTGGCATTGCTGAAGTCCATGGGCAACGGTAACCACTCACCATCAGGTGGGCCGTATGCTCGTCTGCCTACAAGGGCAACAAAAAAAAAAAGTTGCAAGATGTCGCTTAAACCAAATAGATTTTCACTCCTCGATATAGACTTTACTAATGAAATAAGTTGTTATTAATAAAGAAGTCCTTTATGTGCTTAGTACATTGAAAGCTAAGTAAAAATATATTGAAATATATGTACATAATTTCTTCGTTATTCAAAATTTCATATACATACATAATATATCGAACGGCGTATTTGCAGATTACATAAATTGATTGTTGTTCACAAGGAGGGTGCTATTAGAAATGTCATTGAACATAGCTCTCCTGTAAAGTTGCAAAAATGTCTCTTAAACCAAACAATCTTTCACCCCTCGATATATACTACATACAACAAATTATTCCAAGCTAGAGGTCCCACAGTAGTCGAAATTCGACTACAATATTTAATTGGAATGGTAAGTTTGTAATCACAAATTTCGCCAAGGCTACACTATAAAAAATATTAATAAAGACAAACAATATTTTTAGTCTATTCTCAATTTGACCACAGAATGTCAAGAACAAAAGTTCTACAATAAATAGTATGCATGCGTGTGTGCGTCAAATACATGGTGTGTAGTGTGTGTAATGTTTTCTTTATTGATTTAATGTATCTTTTATGCATTATTTTAAAAAAATNACAAATTTCACCAAGGCTACACTATAAAAAATATTAATAAAGACAAACAATATTTTTAGTCTATTCTCAATTTGACCACAGAATGTCAAGAACAAAAGTTCTACAATAAATAGTATGCATGCGTGTGTGCGTCAAATACATGGTGTGTAGTGTGTGTAATGTTTTCTTTATTGATTTAATGTATCTTTTATGCATTATTTTAAAAAAATATTAACATTGTGCACTTCCTCTCTATATTCTGTATAAGTGTGGAAAATTTCATACTCTCCGTCCACGCAATTTTCGTAAAAAGGGATACAAAGTTTTTGCTTCACGTATTAATATATAGATACATTTGAGGTCATTAGGCATTTTGTCTTTGTTAATTATCGCTTCTGTCATTAGCAACGGCGTTACACAGATGAAAAAAAAACCCGACTTATTTTTCGGTGCCATATTTTCGTCGATGGCACGTCATCATGTCATAGACACGGCTGTCATCAAAACAGCTTCATTTAAAAATACCCTAAAAAGGGCCCGTCATTCGCGCCCTTAATTATGGTCGCCCGTGGCTCTGCAGCGAAAACACCAGAAATACCAGATCCGTGTCCTCTCGTATTTCAAACAACAATCAGCTTAACAAAACATTCTGTATGCTAGTTAAGGGGTCAACTAAAAGTGGTATAAGGTGAATTTTTACAAAGATATCATGAACGTTAGTGCAGCTAATTTTAGATTTTATGCCTATTCGAATAGAAGCTAAGTGGAATGACAAAAAATAAAATGGAAAATGTGTTTTCATTAGTCATCAAAAGCAGGAACACGTAGCAGACAAAGGCTGAATGTCTGTCAGTTTTGAACAACATTGCGTGAAAGGGTTGGACGCGCATCGCCCTATTCTATTTCTATAAATTTCATAGAAGTTATCTATATATTAATACGTGAAACAAAAACTTTGTACCCCTTTTTACGAAAATTGCGCGGACGGAGAAGTATGAAATTTACCACACTTATCGAGAATATAGAGAAGGAGTGCACAATGCTAATATATTTTTAAAGTTATGCATTAATAATAGATTAAATCAATAAAAAAACTTTACACACATTACCATGTATTTGATACACACACATACATACCTATATATGTATATTCTTTGTTTATTGTCAAACTTTTGTTATTGCTTAAAATCTGTGGCCAAATTGAGAATAGGTTAATAATGTTTGTCTTTAATATTATTTGTCTATAGTGTGATCTTCTGTGAATAAAGAAGTACCGTATACAATAGAACCCTAATAATGTTCAAACTTATAATTTCAATTCATTACGAGTATAGTCGAATTTCGACTACTGCGGGACCACTAGTATGTATTAATACACATTAAAATAATTGAACTTACCTACATAGATTCTCGTAGTACCTAATCAAATTACATTCAACTGAATATTCTAACTCAATAGGCATGTTCGTTAATGTTCCATTAATACCACTCTTATTGTAGCCATCATCAGTTTTGAATAAATTCGACGTAGTAAACACATTTACGGCTTGACCTTGTTTATATTTTAATAAATTTCCCTTAAAGTATTCCATATTCTGTGATATCGACTATCATGATTTGCATGGGCCTTGGTGACTTTCCATTCACAAATCCGTGAACCTATTTCTAACAAAAATTTATAAATTTATCATATTGTAATAGTATTTATATAGTTTGACTCCGTTAGATGTGTTTGTTTTTCTGTAATAAATAAATGAAGTACTTCGTTTGTATTAAATTTATCCGAAGTATTAATGTTGTTTGATAAATTCAATTATAAATTTTAATTAAAACTCCCGTGACTGACAGTTAGGATAAGATTAACGAGAGTTTATTACGATTTTAAATTGATTCGTGAAATCAATCGCTCGGGCGGCCATTTTGTTTTTTATTTTAGCGTAGGTACCGCTTCGAAATTTCGAAAAAGCGCAGATGGTACTGGAATGTAATTTACGATTGAAATGGATTCGTGTTATCGTTTATTTTTAAATTAATATTGTATTAATTATTGGAAGAGGTATAAGAGTGAGAATGATACAGATTATTTTCCGATTAATTTACATCATGCGGAATTCATAAGAGTCCATTACATTGGGCTTGCTAAGAATTAAATAAATAGATTGCGTTTTCTTCGGTTTCGTGAGTTGTAGACATAATTAAAAGCAATTTTACGGTTTCAAATACATGACAGTTATCATGGTTATGGGTGACGATTAGGCGTTATACGTCAACCTTTTAATATCATGCTAATTACCGCGTTTTTCTATGAAAATTATTTGTCTGCTTTTAAGTTTAATTTAATTTAAATGAAATATTAATTAGAATTATAATATAGAATAAAAATTGTTTTAATTATTGTTTAGATAAGTCTTATTAAAGATCTAGTACATTATATGCCATTATCAGTTTTGTAAGTAATCAAATCAAATGCAGAGTCGTTAAGCCGTTTTGTGCCAGTAATGCTTTAATGCATCAAATTTCGTAATAAATCAAATTCAACCCCCATTTAGGGGCTAATAACAACAAAATAGCTTCCGTCTAATTACATTATTAGTAATGGAAATCGAATGTAAGACATAGAAGGCTTTCTTCTTGCCCTAGTCTGTTATCTGCGAGAAAATCATCAATGCGAGTAAGCGCATCCGACAAATTGGATATATTCTAATAAGGTCAGTGATTGGCAAAAGCCTTACAAAATTGATGTACTCGTAATAATTACTTAACAGTTGTTTAAATGAGCGTTCGCATTCCCAGTAGCACCAATATGCACAGTCATAAGATTAATTGTAGGAAAGTCGGCTACAAATGGATTAATCCAGATTATTTTGGCCGACAATGACGTGTCAAAATCGATTGTCAAAATTCTCAACTACATTTCGTTCGCTTTCAATTATTACGGTAATGGATTATATGTTGTTTTCTTGAGACGAAGACTTGATTAAATCGATTTTCTGTATTAATCTCGTGAATCACATTATCCGCTATTTCGAACGTTTTTGTTATTAAGTACTTGTAATCTCTACCTCTTCTGAAATGACAAAGCATCTTGCATTGTTATTGGTTGCCGTTTTTG